TCAATTTTGTAATTTATGAATAAATTACATTTTTTTTATTCTATTAAAACTTTATTTCATAGGGGAGAAGATTAAATGCATAATATCCGTCCCATTATTTTTAATACATAATTTAATTACAAAAATAAATTTCGTAATAAAAATTTGAATCCCCTGATCAACCCCTTCTTTTATCCATGTTCCTGAAAATATTTAATAAATTTATGAGTTTCAATAATATGTCACAAATATACTGAGTTATAATAAATTGTATCCTTTAATAAATGAATCTCATTATAAGAAATCTGTAGGAGAACTCTTTTGGCTTGGTAAAATCTGTATAGATATATTTGAATTTTAGTAAATTTTTCTATTTATTATAATTTATTTAATGACTTTTTTTTATAATAAATTTCAGCATTTAATTATTATTATTATTATTATTATTTATACGGTTTTTAAAGAAATTATATGTTTTATTTACTGAATCATTGTACATAATTTTAAAGGATAACGTTGATATAGAAAGTATAATTAATGAACGATCCGATGAACCACATTATAAACAAACTGACCGTGGGCTCAAAATTTATGAATTGAGCATATTGGACACCGGCAAATATACTTGTACAAACTCGAATCAAGATTCATATTCATTAAATTTAGTTGTTGCATTTGCACCTCATTTTATTGTTGAAAAACCAGAGGAAATTCTCGTTAAAAAAAATGAAATGGTTTTGCTTGATTGTATGGTAAAGGGGTATCCTAGTCCAAAAGTAAGACAAATATCACTAGCTTAATTTAAATTTGATCAGTAAGGATTTATTATTAGACTAAAATTGAAAAAAAATTACAAATTTAAAAATCGGTAAATTTTGTCATTTTTCTCACTTTTCTTTCTTATAACTTTTTCAAAAATAAACAATTCAACATAACTTTTTTTTAACCTAAAACTTTAGATATTTCCCTTTCATTTGATATCATTTTTTTGAAAATCTAACACTTAACCTGCTCATTACTACATACTGTAGTAATAGTGGTGGGATTTAAAATAGCAACTTTTTTACAAAAACTAACTTTTTCAACTTAATTTTTGAAAATGTTCCGGAAATACTGCGTCC